GCCAACCCCCCGCGGCCGACGCTCGTCGTCGTCCGGTGCTGCCTGAGCGAAGGTCTCGAGACGGTTCTCTCCTGAGCGGCCTTCCCGGAGCATTTCTCGCTCTTTCTCAAGACAGCCCCCTCCTGAGCCGGGTTTTGGTGGTTTTTCTTTTTGTTTTTTGTGATTTTTGTGTGAATTTTCCATATGAATTTCCAGCGTCCTTATCTTTAGCTCGGGGTGTCGTCTCTCTCCCCGCCCGGAACGGCCTCACAGCCTCCGCTCTCCTCCTCGGGGCCGGTCCCACATCCACGCCCGGCCGCTCGCTCGGCCCCTGGGATCCCGAAAACATCGCTCTCGGGGTGCGAGGGAGGACGGGAGCAGACAAGACTTTGCCGGGGGTGACCCTTGGCTGCGGCGGAGCAGCTTTGAGGACTCAAAGCTCCTTTAGAGACCCCCCCAATGTCTTCTCTGTGGGTAAAAGAAGGCGTTAAAATGATTGAGAAGCGAAAGCGGGGCAGAATTAGGTGGGTAGAGGGAGCCGATGGGCGCCCTGGTTTGTGAACAGCGCCCGAGGGAGGCTGTTTGCCCCGGGCTAGTCGCCTTCCGGGGTTGCCAGGGTGGGAACAGAGGCCGAGGGAGTCGCCCGGGGGCTGTCCTGTGCACGGCCACACAGGTCCGAGGGCTTCTCCCTGCCCAGCGGGGCCAGGCGAGGCTTGCAGTGATTGTGGGGGGACACTGGGCATCCGGACCCGGCAAGGCCCAGGTTCAGGTCTAAGCCCACATCCAGGCCTAGGCCAAAGCCCTGACCCGGGCCCAAACCCATTCCCACACTTGGGCCAAGGCCCGGGCTCTTGTCTATGTCCAAGCCCAGATGCAGGCCCACATCCATGACCAGATTCAGGCCCAGGGCCACGTCCAGGCCCAGATCCAGGGTTAGACCCAGGCCCAGGCACCTGCCCATGTCCAAGACCACGTCCACACCCAGCCCCAGGATGAAGATCTTGTCCACGCTCACGACTAGGCTCACATCCAGCCTCAGACCCAGCCCCAGGCCCAAATCCAGGCCCAGGCCCATGTCCCAGCCCTGACCCAGGTCCCAAGCCCCAAGCCAGGGCCTAGGCCCACATCATGGCCAGGCCCAGATCCAGGCCCAAGCCCCAAGCCCCAAGCCAGGGCCTAGGCCCACATCATGGCCAGGCCCAGACCCAAACCCAAGCCACAAGCCCCAAGCCCGGGCGGCAGGCCAGAACCATTTTTTAAGCGCCAAGCCAGGGCCTAGGCCCACATCATGCCCGGGCCCGGGCCCGGGCCCAGGCCCAACACACATCCAGACCCAGGCCCTGCCCCGTGAGAGCCCTGCCCTAGCCACAGCCATCGACTTTGCCCTCGGGCCGCCCCACCCCGGAGCCACTCCCGCCATTACTCCCTCCTGGCCACCAGAGGCAAACCGGAGTGACTCTGGATCGGGGAGGAGCCCCCCCCATAAGGTATTTTAGAAGTTGATTGGCTCAACAAGGTGTCAGTCAGAGCGACTGCCCCGCCTCCTGGAGGGCTGTGGCTGTCGATTGGCTGAGCGCCACGTTCATCTTTAAGACTCCGCCTTCCCTGTGGTGATTCGGTCGGTGATTGGTCTAGAGCCTGCCCCCTCTCCGGGCTTTGAGACAGCTTTCGCCCTGGAAGCCTAGCGGGGGGAGGGAAGCGCTTAGAGGAAGAGGATTGGCCTCCACGCCCTGTCAATCCTCGCTCTCCGGACGCCTATTGGGCTTCAGTTGCTGCCTCGCGCTGTTGAGCGAGCTGATTGGTCCGTCTCCCTTTAACCCCCGCCTCTCCGCGGTCACGTGCAGGCGGGCCCCTCCCGCCCCCCTTCG